AAGAAATATGGAAAACTTTGGAATCCACAGAAAAAGCGGTTGCTGAACGTTTTATCGAAGCAATGACTAGTTCGGTTGCAGCCGCTGAAATTCCAAGTGATACGTCGCGTGAAGATTGTAATGACGCAAACATTTACAACTTCAGGAATAGAATAAATGCTAACGAATTATATGACTTTTATCTTGGAGTTAGTCTTATCTTCTTTTATCTATTTAGGTTTTAACTTGTCTTAATTTCTTTGCTTTTTTTTGACATTGTTATATATAATTTAGGATAATTTCTTCTAGTAAGAGCTACCTTTAATGATATTTTTTTTCAGAAATTTAGTCATTATATGCTGAATAGGGGATAAGGGATAAAGCTATCAGAGAATGAAAGTTTTAGGGAGAGAAGGGGTACAGTTAGAAAGCAAATTATATAAGAGGAAGAGAAAAAGAGAATGAAATAAAGTGAAATGAAGGAAAGGAGGTCAAAAGATTTGGAAAGATTCTCACTGTTTGTCGTCATTTCAGGACACAATCGTAAAGCCCCTCTACAATTCGACAGTAGGGCTTGTCATTACAAACAGACTAGTAGAGGACATCAGGGTGTAAGGATGTAAGGGTACATCAAAATACTTTTTTTTTAACGCTTCTTTCCTTATGTGTAGAAAGGATCGTATGTTATATGCGGCCTTCATCCAGTCAAGCAATTATCGTTGCCCAATAAAGCCGGAAACAACGTCATCAGTCTGTCACAGCATGCGGAATTAACAACGCTGGATGTGTGGTTCTGTCAAAGGCATACTTGAAGTGTCGTAGTTTTACTTCTTTTACTGAAAGTTCTCACACACTGAGCTTTTCATTCCATTATAATACCAGAGAGGTAAAAATAGGAGGATAGATTAACGGTATCGAACTTGAAGCAATACTTGATTTGCCGTATAGGCTTTAAATGAGGTATCTCTATCCACCGTAAGCAGGCATTTGACATCAAAATTACATGTAGATTTAAGCGGTTCTTCATACAAATGGAATTCTTCACAATTTAACACAAACAGTGAATGAGTGGAAATGTCTTACAATGAATTTGTTCTTGTATTTATGCCATCTTATGTTACCGAGATTTCTAGCAGGTTTCGAAGGAAGTGTAAGGGTTAATTGCAAGATTTTTTGGTACATTTTCTTTCTAGGTGTAAGTTCATTTGGAAGCTTTGCTTGCCATATTCTCTATATTATTTTGTTGAGATGTGCAGCTGTTTGAGAAAGATTTGTACTTTCCTCTGTTTCTTTTTTTTATTTATTTGCCATTCATTTCTGCCAATCAGGCGATGCGTTCAAACGTTAAGAGTGAGCCACAAAGACATGCCGGCTTGTCCGTGCTATCCACGACGTTATCGATGAAGGTTTAACGTGAAGTGTCAGTGATATGAAGTTCGAGATCTTTTCAATCGATTAATTCTGCTTCAGGTGGGCTCGCCTTGTTGGAGAAGAAAAGAGAGATAGGAGAGGAAAGGTGGGTTAGTTCTGTAGGATCGTAAGCCATTCCGGTCGTTTATTTCGTGCTCAAACGACCAATACAGTTTACTATCGGAAGAGTGGGTCAACTCGTTTTGGAGGAAGAAGTCTTAGTAGGGGATACCCTTCTTCCCAACTTTTCTCATCATCTTCATTTTGTAAAATACGGAAAATGCCGTTTATCGGAAAGGATTGGCGAGCACCTGGTGAAACTTGGGTGTGGTGCTCCAATACCGATGGATGGGAACAGATGAAACTACGACCAATTCAGGTAATTGTTGATGGATCTGCTGCAGTTGTCTTTCAAATTTCTAGACAGAGAAGCGGGTAGAACTATCGTTCCATGCTTTTGTTCATGCTTTTGAAAAATGCAAAGATTTAAGGTTGTTCTGTAACTAGAAGAGTAATAATTAAAGATTGTTTAAAATGTTACGGTAGTAAACTTTATGGAGAATTGTGTCTGTAATTATGCAAATCCTTATTGTCATACTTCATAAATGTAATTTAAAGCCATTTCCGGATGGATGATTTATTCTAAGCCGAATAAGTCATCATACTCCTAAAATGACTGATTTTTTTACATTACACAGCATTTGTTGCATGATTTTTTAAACTGGTAAACATGTCAGCCTCAGTGATATATATGCACTAAGTGTATACCAGAAGATGCTAATAAATCATCCCACTTTAACAAACTTCAGCGAGGAACTTGAAGTTGTACCCCAACTGAATGCTGAAAAAGCTTATGAAGTGTCTCGTAGGTACAGGATCTTTCTTTTTTGTCCGATCAGTAGATATAACTTCAACAAATGTCGAGGGCGCATCTCTTCAAAAATAGTTGAATCTTCGTCCTATAAGCTTTATTTTCACTCTAATTCTCTGCGAGGAAGAAGTCTTAAATAACTAGAAGTCTTTCTTCACTTTCATCGTTCATCAAATATATATATATATATATAGGAAGGGAAAAATCCCGTATAATCATGTCTCCCAAAATACGCTACGGTAGCAGAACTTCACAGAAAGTGGCTTTCACAAAAGTGTAGAAGGTTGTTTTTACTGTCTGCTTAGCAAGAAAAAATTTAATAACTCCTAAACTTTTAAATTATAACAGGTGGAAGAAGCAGTCGATGCAACTCGGTCGCCAGTTTGCAGTTCATTGGTGAAAAATGTTTCTTCGATGTCGCTATCAAGTAACGATGAAAACTGTCTACGATCGGATACTGATGATTCCGGTAGCTTCTGTTTATGTTTTACTTTTTTGCACTAAGCTGATTTGAATTGGACGGTTGCCGGATAAGCCAAGTTAAGACATATGTTAAATGCACTTTAATCTGAGAACGATCAAGATGAAAACTCTCATGTTTGTTAATTTTAATTGCTATTGGTTTTCCCCTTTTTTTCCAAAGAATCAAAAACAACTTGATGACTGGATTAAATTTTTATATTAATTGAGAAAAAATTTCAGTTTCAGAAGGTGATGATTGGATCCCGCATTGTTTCGTCAAAACTGGAAAATCCAAAGAAGTTAGCACCACTGAATTTTTCAAATTTTTCAGTATAACTCATGAATGTAATATTTTAAAATGACAGATTTCTCTCGCAATCAAGTCATTAACTGCATTTCATATACGAGTTATTCAAAAAATATGTCAACTTTCTAAGGCCGGTTTATATTTTTAATGTTTATGTTTTCTAGGTATAAATTCTTTATTTTGAAATATTTTACACGTGTATACTCTTGAGAAAACGATGCTTCTTAAATTTTTTGAATGGTTTTAACTGTTTAACTATAGAGTAAAAAAACTACAGAGTATGCAAATATAAATGAGATTTCGTGATTGAATCATAAAGCAGGTGAAAAATAATTTGGAATTCAATACATTTTACGTTGGAGTATCCTTAATCTTAAGCTTGTAAGTTTACTTATTGAGGTTTTTCAATTCACTTTGTTTAGTTTGTTGGGTGTACGAGTATGAGTGAGGCATTTCACCGATTGGACTTGGCACGAGCCGTGAGCGATGTCCGGAGATTCAATTATATCTGTAAAGTAAGCTTTCAGCATTAGGAAGTAGAACAGGAAAAATTATTTTTCTGGTCGCTGAAATATTGGAGGCATACATTTCTCATGTAATTTATTGGCAGGTTGTGCAAATCCTCGTTCAGGAGAAGTTGCAAAATCTTAGTGCTACTGCTCGGAAAGCTCTTCTTTCCATTATTAAGGCGATTGTACTTATATGTTAGTTTCATTTTTATTCAAAGAAAAAGTACATAAATCGTCTGAAGCAATCATATGTACATTTTCCTGTTAAGCTTGCTGCAATTCAAAAAGGAAAAAAGCTTTACAACATTTAAGAAAATATCGTTTCAAAGATCTAGTTGAAGGGATATATCAAAAACAAAAATAAAAATATTCCGCTGGAGTATTAAGATTGTAAAGTTTATTTGAATATTCAGGCGTTGAAAAGGACCTTCATATATCCATAGCACGATCTCTTGTTTGTGATTTTGGTGCCGGTCTTGAAGGTCACTTGTACGGTTCACCTCAATTAGTTTCGAAGCAACTGAATGTGATTGGTGATTTGTTGGAACTTATTTCCGAACGACGACCTCGTACATTAGCAGATAGTGACGAAGAATCAGTAACGTTTATGGATTTACCACGAGAAATTCTGTCAATCATCTTGAGGTATGTTCTTATTTTAATTTGACTTGTTTAAAGAAATAATATCATTAATGTTATGAAACGATAAAGAGGTGGAGTAGTTGTCAAAAATTGCTTCTTCGATCAATTTTTTGCACTCGAAATGATCGAGTCACCCGTATAATAAGTTATGCTATTGCAGTTCAGTCGTCTCACTCGTATAACAAGTTATGTTGTTGCAGTTCAGCCGTCCTTTTCTTTACCAGAGCATAGATTTTTTTTTAAATCGTAATTATTCACAAGTAACAGCCATTCCGCTTCCTAGAAGGATTCTTCAAGGAATCTTCCTCATAGTGATAGTTTTCTCATACTTGGCCAAGAAAACAGTCAGTTAGGTTCATACACAATAGATAGAAAAATGGATAGGTCTATAGTTTCAGTATTTCTCTGAACTTTCTGGTTGCACTGTTCCAAGCTATTTTTAATTCATATTATTTAAGCTTATGTTTTTGTACAGAAAACTTCCTGACCATGTTTCACTGCTTGAAGTTGCTAAAGCACATGAAGTTTTGGATGCCATTGTCAAGAAAGAAGAACAGCTTTGGGCATCTCTGTGCAACTTCCACTTTACGCAGGAGCAAACTGCAAAAATTAAAAGAGATCCGATTTCCTGGCGTCATACCTTCTTCGAACTTAAAAAATATTGTGGACTGCGGGAATTTTATGCTGATTTAATTCATCTTTGTTGTCACTGTAAAGCGATATTTTGGAAGGTAAGTTTTACTATTTCTAGCATCGATTTTTGAAAGAAGTTTCCCTATGTTTGTTCGCAACATCAGAATTAGATTTCCTTAACTGAGGATTTCGGACGCGGGAGTGAACTGACTGTTTTTTTTGGGGGGAGGGGGGCGTAAGACATATGAGAATAGGGAAAAATGTTTTGTATTAATTATACTCAGATAATCAGAACACTGAAATGTGAGCCCTGTTGTAAGAAAATGTAAACACTACTTTCAGGATCATGGGCATCCATGTATATCGAAAGATACACCTTCAGTGCGTGTTACGCCTCAACAGTTTGTTGACATGTTACTTTTTCTGTGAAAAAAGTTTGATTGGTTTATAAAATCGCTGTGGTTTATTTGTGATATACAGTAACGCGGTTTGGTTTCTTAGTATGCAGTATTTGTATCTGCAATGCATTCAAAAGTCAGATTACGAATTAAAAAAAAGGGAGATCCACTCCATAAGAAAAATGCAATTGTACTCTAAATTTTAATTGCCTTTACCTTAGGCTTCTTATTTGGGATCATTTTTTCAATTTACATAAACGGACCGTTGAGAATCAACTTAAAAATTGTATTGTATCTTTGTGATTTGTAAGTATTTGTAACTTTTCCCATTACATTTGTATAATTTGTGGATTTTTGATCTTTCGAATTTTTTATCATAAGAGTTCATCGACACTTCATGTCCAACAGATTCTGTTAAGATCCTTGAATTGTGAAGAGGTAAACACAAGGATTTTGAGTAAGTACTGTAAAATATTTATAGTTGTTTCCCACCGATTCCATGTAGCATCTTTCATCGTACAGTTTTTGTGTCTCAAATGTGACAGACTACGAATGTAATGTTTGGTGATAATTAATCTCATGCCTGGTGGTAATTAACAGTGGTAAACCGTCTTTTGTGCCGTCGTATCAAGTTATTTTGGTAAGTAGTGATGAAGCGCATCGCAGCATATTTGCAAATTTGTATATTTGCTACTTGCAAACTTCTCTGTTTGCTTGTTTATGCTACTGCACTTCCATTTATCCTAGTTAGGATATTCCAATAGAAACAAGCCAAGCTAGCCATTGTACCGGTGGGGAGATTCGTTTGCGGTCGTTCTTTTAAGAGTACTCATTTCATTCACACTGAGGATAAACACAGACGTTTGAACTGCTTGATTAAGGTATATAAATCAAAACATTAAATCTGAAAATTATCTACTAATAATTGACATTATCAGTTTGTCGCATGACTAAGCTCGTGAAGATACGTACGACTCGAAGTTCCTATTAATTAAATTTAAAGTGTGATGGCCGTACAAGCGAACAGCCGCAAGCATAACTTGGTACTCATCCTGATATGACGTTATATTCCCAAAATTTCCATAGTTTGACAAATGTGTTTGGACAGAAGTTTTTGGCCGATCCTTGTATTCGGAAAATAAATGGGTCGGAACCACTTTATAACATGGGCAATACATACATTTTTGTAATAATAATATGCAAATTTAAGGGAAACCTCGCCTTACTTATAATCTACAACACATCATAATAGTGCAAATAACATGTAGAAATGGTATATCCACTGATGCGTATGGACCACGCAAGACGCAGGAAGTACGCCTTGGCAGCGTGTTTCTTGCACGCTCTTTCTGCATTCCTCATTTTCATCAGTGAAGCCAACCACTTCTTGATGCTACCGATATTGGCGTTCGTACTTTGTCATGTGTTTCTTTTCTGGTGTGTCATAGGTATAGCAAAAGGTATAGAAAGGTATAGGTGTAACAAAAGGGTATAGCAAAAGGTAAAGCAAAACGCATGTGTTTTACCTTTTTTTTGGTTCTAGAAAGAAGTGTGGCTTTTCTGATGAATGATTTTTGCTGGCATGCAATAATCATAACCAAATGTGATCAAAAAGCGTTTGACCTGACTGTTAACTAGAATTAACTAGACTGTTAACTAGAATTAGCATGTGATTTCTAATATGTGACGTGATAAGTGTGATATGGAGACATATTCGGAAGAAAAGTATTTTGTTTCATATGTAACGTATTTTGCACTTATTTCTATATCGATGAACTTTGAAGTTTTAACACTGAAGTTATAGGCAGGGCATAACACAATTCGTTACCCATCATAAAGTAGTTAGTTATTTGGTAGGCCTGACACCTTTCGTGACTGTCTTGCTGCAGTTGTTCATGTTCGCAGTTCACGTCTATTCGATATTCGCTTTTGCCGAACAACGACAAGCTTACTCGAGATGGAGCCCACAGTATCTCAAGGTTAGTCTTTTGTACTCTGCTGAATGCTTTTTCACCTCCTACAGCGAAGGAGATGCCTAGGCTTGCACACACTCTCGTAATTTGCACTTTCCGAGTCCAATCCAAAATCTCATGAGGTTTATCTTCTTTACGTTCTAATTGTGCTCTTTGTGAAGTTTTATGAAGCTGCTTAATGAAACAGAATCTAAATAACTTCCAAAATATCACTTAAATAGATAGAGATCGACATTATTTGCAGGAGTGTTAATTGATACTGTCGCAATGATAATGTTCGTCCCTTGCATCAGTTTACCTGTTAATTAAAAGTATTATATTTCAGCTGTTGATATCAATTCTAATGGTCTCACTCATCTTTTCCTTACTCATCGCTGTCGTCACTGTCATTCACTACTGGAAGTCCGATATTTTCTTAAAAATTGGAATAACTGAGGTGAAACTTTTCAGCATGATCTCATGTTGTAAAGGATCATCAGTTTCACATTTGTTTCGAAAACAAGCTTGGAGTCAGAGATTGACTTCAAAAACTTTTGAAGAGTTCCATATATCAATAGAAATGCTCAATTCTAGCGCATGGTTGGCTTCAGTACAAAGCAAACGGATCGTCAGGAAATGAATTGGTTGCAAGGATCTTTCGAATGTTGTGGCGTGTTTGGTTACGAAGACTGGTTGCCTCTAACGGCCAGCAATAGCTTGTTAGAAACGTCAGTTAGCTTTATTTCTTCCGGGCTGCATGTTAGTAATGATGCAGTCGTATTTTGCCACTTTCAAATGATTTTCCAATTTATGGATTCCATTATTAACGTCCAGTTCTTGATCATTCTTTGTCTTCAGCGATTTATTTCAAAGTTTCTTTTAAGAACATCTACATCGCACTTTTTTTTTTCACCTTTAACATTAAAAACTTTATGGATTTCTAGTGATAACCAAATAATATTCAACCAGTCTATATTTGAACATCCCAGATAAACATGTGCCCATCGATATGCTTCCATACAAGCATTACTCTATATTTCTCTCAGAACTTCTCAAGTTATATGCAGAGTCCAATCCTTGTTTTCCAAGTTTTCTTGGGATAACGAATTTTAAAATTTGAAGTAAATTTCAGCCAACTGATATCTGATAGGAAAAAGCAGTGGTCTCACTGCACAAGGAATGGCTGTTATCTGCCGCATTCATGTTGTATAAGCAGTCAGCTGAAGTGCTCCCCACTAATATTGCTACAAAATTATACAAAAAATGAGGAGGTTGGGAAACACAGAGCTAATGAATGGTTTTATCTTACAGGTAAGGTCTAAATGTTACAAGATATTGACATTCCGAGCTCTTATTCGTTTGATCATGCTCATGTTTTCAGCACTGAAATCCTCAGCGAGTGCAGCTTAATTGTATCATCTGTTATGTTAGCTCGGAAAACGATAAATTGTTATAGATAGTTGTTAATTTAGCGAACATCGTTAATTTATTTTCAAGAAATGAGCAACTTGAATATAATTTATGAAAAATTTTGCTGATTATTGAAATGTTTTACTGTTCCTCTCTCTCCAAAAGTGTGAACTTTGAAGCACTTATCAGGCAACATAAATCTTTTCCTAACTATTCTTAACCACTCTTCGCAACTTTACGGGAAGTTCTTTATTCATTTGTTCTGTCACTATTACATCTCCTCTAGTTTTCTTTCATAACCTATGCAACTTTGTTACTTTTTGTTCCCTTTCAGTGTTTAAGTTTTTCAGGTTGTTTTAATGAGCTTAAACGCAGACTGAGCATCTTTCTCGTCGCTTTTTCTGTCATTAATTTTGGGATACAGTGCATCACTTTGTTATATTCACAAATTGCTTGTACCAGTTACGCTATGGTCAGTCATTGTGACACCGAAGATGAAACTGCCGTGCTTCCCGCATGGATTCTGCCATTTCCATCACCCTTTCCACAGACAATTGTCAAAGTTTATTCTTCTTCTTTGAGAGACAGTTTAACTTCACACTATATGAGCTGTATTTGTTCATTGGGAAATCATCTCTCCAACTTTATGGACAGTGATAATTAGGAGTAGTGAAGTAAATCTCATAAAATAAAGTCGAGCGCCCGGCATTTTATGCGATATAGTGACCATATGGTAGTCTTTTCTAGCAAAGAAATCTGGATGCTTGTGCAAACTGGATCATTTTGATAAAAATATTTAATTAAGTGAAAGCAAACTTGGATGTTTACTAAATTAGATAATGAGTCACAAATTTTCCATTTATAAATTAGATGGAAGGAGTGATTTCTATAATGTTCTAGTAGTAATTATATGTATTTCTTAGAAGTGTCAAGAACTCTGGAAGCAAGGACGTGATTTTCAAGAATTGATAACTTGAACTAAAGCATCACTGTACATACATTCTTTCCGGAGTTATTTTACTTTTTCATTGTTAAATAAAATCTAACCTTCCAGTCCACAAACATAATTACATTCATTAATGCTTAACAAAATCAAATATTAGAAAAACGAGACCTGTATGATTTCTTTGTGCTTGTTTAATGCTCCATTTCTATCAGTCTTATTTTTGTCATATTTGCATTTTATTGGAAGTATTAAATTTGTTCATTTGTTAATAACTGCTAGCCTCAGATCCTAATGCGGCTTAATATCAATCAAGAAGCTTTTTGAGGCATTCTCTGAATTGATGTAATCATTTTCTGACCGACCAATCATTCCATTTCAGTTCAATAAAATAATCATTAGGAAGAAATTAAAATAATTTCTGGAAGAGCTGATTTAATCATCAAATTCTCCTTATATAACGGCCCTTTCATGCTGAATTGATAACGTTCATAGTCGTATGTAAAATTAATCCAGTTTTTTTCGTTAAATGCATTGGAAGATTTAGAAATATCGAAGAGAGAATTATTCCATCATTCTGCGTTAATTGGGATTTGAAGAATGTCTTGATGCTTTATCGAATCCAAATAGCATTGATTCATTGATCAAAAGCCTGAAATATACCTTAAAAATTAGTGTAATGTATCAGGAATGCATCTTTGCTATTGGTATAGTAAACTAATACATAGAAATACGTTGATTTTGACTGATAAAAAAAGGAAAGGTTAAATGAGGAGATAGGAAGTGAGATTCCGAGGTATGAAAATTACTTCCTTTTGCTTCCTGATCCATCTCTGTTCGCATTCACAATCTACATTAATTTCTATTCTTCATTCAAAATGAGCAGGATTTTCGAGCAGACCTATTTCCTGTTCTTTATTTGTTTCTCATTTATCAAATATTTACTGATCGACCTATTCCACCGCGTACTTTATATTCAATATTCTCAAAGATATGATTCATCAAGTAGATCAGAAAATTTAGCTAAATAGCTTCGCTAATCTATAAAATCTAGAGAACTAGGCGTGGATCGTCCTTCCGCGATTACAATAGAAGTATGTTGTATACGTCATCTTTTGCTGCCTTATTTTTTCCAAATTTTTTAGTCAAGAATTTATTTGTTTTGTCTCAGTTTTGTTCCACTCACCTGAGGCCTCATTATGATGACTGGGCTCGAAAAACAACATTTCCTCCTCTAACATTTAGGGCGCATTTCCCTCCCTTTTCTCAGTAAAGTAATTCTTGTGTTGAAAGTGTTTGAAGTTTTTGAACATAGTAAGTGCAAAAATCAAAAAGAATATGGCGTGAATCGTTGCTGGAATTTTCTTCACCTTATCATAAACTTATACGTTCTGTATTTCCACTTCATGATAATGTTGCATTTTTATTTTCGCTGCCTAGCGGTTGCTGGTTGTTGGCACTAATTATCTTATCACCAAAGCTGTTATGACAACTAATTATCAGATTATATTCTTGCAGTAACAAACATACATGGCTTACCATATGTTTCGGGTAGAGTTTCGAACCTTCTTAACTTAAGCATTAGATTTAATTATCAGTGAAGAATGCTCACTGTTAAGTAAAGGAGCTGAAAATTCTATCGGCGGATCAGGCTTAGGCACAATGAGAATGATGAGGGCTTATGAGTAAATGGGATAGAACCAATGTTTGCATCAGTTTTTATGTATTTTGGATAAAAATTTGGAACAAATAATTGGAAATGAGTAATGAGAATTGTTGACAATCTAGATAGAATTATATGCCAAGGTCGACAGGTAGGATAACGACATTTCCAGGTGTAATTCGTAGTGCATACAGCATTTGTAAATTTATTCATTTTAAAGTAAAGCACTCTACTGAAAGCATTTTGCTTCCATTTTCAATTTTCTGCTTCCTTTTCTTTTCTTTCCTATTCTACTTTTAATAGTTGTGTGAAAACACATATCCTCTGCTATAAATGGACGAAATTTGTAACAGTTCTTCAATGATTATACTGTATAACTTCTTTATCATACATTGTTTGCCTTCTTTTTTTTAGTTTAAAAAGTAATAGATGAAATTTTTAACCATTGCTTTCCAGATCTGGAAAATATGTCAATGATATGTTGTTACGGCGGGCATTGAAATTGAATGAAACATTCGAAATATATTTCTTCTAATCACCTGGCTAAAAAGTAAAACAAAGCTAGTTTGCTTTGTTCATACATTTATCATTCTTTTCTCAATGATAATACTTCATTACCTTTTCAAACTTCGGCAATTCTTTCTAGAAGGTATATTAAAATATTGAACAATCAATATTGGTCCTTTAAATATTTGTTGTTATAAATTGATATCTAGTATAGTGTTGGAAATTGGATCAACATGGCGAAAAATACTTAATAACTAAAATGATTTGACAGAACTTCAACTTGATAACTAAAACGATTTCAAAAGTGAGAAGATATTTGATACCTTTTTACTTTTGATATCGTTTTAGTTATTAAATTGAAGTCTTGTCAATAATTGAAACTTACTGGTCGTTTTAAACTAATCTCTTTATTTGTTCGCTCTTCCACTCCAATGCCGCAAATAAAAATTACAGACGTAAGTTTGCAACAATTTGTCAGCTTACTGAGTTCTACTCTCTTTACAAATGAAAAATTTCATCCAAAAATATAGGGAAAAAGGAAGAATTGAGGATGGCGGAAGAAACAGATACTTTATTTCTTTTTTAGTTTCAGCTGTTATGAAAATGTGGAGTAGAATTGAAGAAGTGCTGTGATTAACATTAGAGCAATTCAGCAAAATACATTTCCAACTTATCCTTCTCATTTTTTTTTAAATCAATCTCTTCGCAAACTGTTTTTCTTAGTTTCAGCTTAATTCTTAATCAAATTTTCAAATAGAGTAGTAGTAGTAGTAGTAGTAGTAGTAGTAGTAAAGTAAAGTAAAGTAAAGTAAAGTAAAGTTAAGCTAAGTAAAGTAAAGTAAAGTAAAGTAAAGTAAAAGTAATTTCTGATTTTCCAAACTGCCTCTTATTCAATTATCCATCTCAAATTCCTATCATGATATCAGTTTCTCAGATATTACTCCTGTCTAGTACATAGTCAGCGAAATATTCCATTCTTCCTGTATAAATCATCAGTCCATTTCGTAGAAACAAGTGTCGAAAGTGTAGCAGAGACAAATTTTCTGAGATTGATGATGATTATTAAGGCAATAAATTTCGACAAACTGCTGTCATTG